GTTAACTGACCCAGTCCCTTTGTCTTTGCCATGTCTTCAAAGTTTTCTGCTCTTTGTCCAACCTAGTACATAAGTGTTAGGATCTAACTCCTCCTTTGAGTTTTCATTTTACTTGCAAGGGCTCCCATGTACTTGTGAAAATTAGTAAATTAAGTTTATATTAATTTCCCCCAGTTAGCCTGTCTTCTGTGAGTCCCAGCTGGAGACCCTAAGAGGGTAGAGAAGGAATTTTCCCTCCCCCACAATGGTGTAGCAAAACTTAAAAATAGAGAGGGGGAAAAAATGAAAAGAAACCATCCCAAGAAAAAAGAGAAAATTTTATTTTTGGTCACATAATATTATCTTTTACGGGGTTCTTCACAGAAGGTCACTTAAAGATAAAGTTGGGGCTTTTTTCACATTGAGAACCAAGGGTGCCTTCTCTCTTCCTCACTCCATGTATTATACCCCAACTCTCCTGCATTTTCCCTCTAAGCATCCACACTGATCCTCTGACTTGTGAGTGATGACTGGGAAGATAACAGGTTGTTCTCAGGTGTCAGCCACAGAGGGCTTAGAGCCCACACACTGAGGATTTAGGAAAGAATTCTAAGTTTTGTCTTCTCAGAGAGAGGATGCTAAAATGATTTACATTTTCATTTCATTTAAAAATAAGTCTTACATTTAGACAAGCACAAATTACTCAAATTCTTTGATGAGTCTATCCCCATCCTTTTTCCTTTTATCAGACAGTTTAGAAGAAGGTTGAGTAATAGAGAAATTTGCATTATTTATAAGCTTTTAAAAATTTTTTGAAGTAGGTATAATTACATATAAAGTAACCAAAATAGAGGATTAGCTGCTTGTTCTTGAGAATCATAAATATATGTTTCTGGGGTCAGAGTATGAAGCATTTTTTAACTTTCCTCAAAAACTTAACCATCTTAAGATATCTTTAAAGAGAAACTTGTTATTTTACTTAAAAAATATTAATTTTATGTCTTATGCAGGATTAAAATTCTGTGATCCTGTGAAATTTGTGTAAGTACTTAGTAAGTCACAGTGTTGGTTTGTTCAGGTCCTCTGTACTGTTCATGCGTGCACTTGAAATCAGGATTAATATTAATGGCCATCTCAGTGCACCTTTATCCTTTTAAAATAATCCTCCTCCCAATTGACTGCTGTATTAATCCAATAGTCTTTCTAGCATAAATACATGATACAACAAGTACATGTTGTCATTACAACAACTTAATAACTCTAGCAACTTAATTCTAGAGTCATTCTCGTCAGCACTTCTTACATAGCCCAGTATTTAGGAAATAATAATTTCCAAAAAATTGCATCCCTTTAAATTTAAAGAAGTAGTTGGAAAGCCTGTTTTGTTTGTTTGTTTGTTTGTTTGTTTTGAGACAGAGTCTCACTATGTTACCCTGGGTAGAGTGCCTTGGCGTCACAGCTCACAGCAACTTCAAACTCTTGGGCTTAAGCAGTTCTCTTGCCTCAGCCTCTCAAGTGGCTGGGACTACAGGCGCCTGCCACAGCACCCGGCTGTATATTTGTTGTAGTTGTCATTGTTCTTTGGGAGGCCAGAGCTGGGTTCTAACCCACCAGCTCCGGTGCCCTAGTGGCTGAGCTACAAGCGCTGAACCATGGAAAGCCCTTTTTAGGATTAAAACTTCATTTTTGACATTGAAAATTACAAACATTTACCAATATTTTTACATTTAAAATTTAATATGAGCTGGGCACAGTGGCTCATGCCTATGATCCTAGCACTCTGAGAGACTGGAGCAGGAGGATCTCTTGAGCTCAGAAGTTTGACATCAGCCTGAGCAAGTGCAAGACCCCATGTTTCTAAAATAGAAAAATTAGCCCAGCATTGTGTCAGGTGCCTGTAATCCCAGCTACTCCAGAGACTGACGCAGGAGACCCACTTGAACCCAGGAGTTTGAGGTTGCTGTGAGCTAGGCTGAGGCCACAGCACTCTAGCCTGGGGCAACAGAGTGAGACTCTATCTTAACTATTATCTATTTATTTTTTTCAACTTTATCAAATTAATATGAGGGTGCAATATTTAAGTTACATTGTTATCACTTCCAGGGTAAAATTCCATTTGTATAAGAGCCCCTCACCCTCACCCTGAGGGGGCATGTTATACACCCTTGCAACGTGTGCATTAGGTGAGATCCCACTTCATGCCCTTCCCCCTTCTGCCATATGACCTTCCCACTCCTGTTTCCCTCCACCCCCAAACTGGACTAAATATGCTAATAATAGTATTTTAATGTTCGTAGGAACATGTAATTGTTTATGTATTGATTTCATATTAGTATGGAGTACATTGGATATTTATTTTTCCATTCTTGCTATACTAAGAAGAATGTATTTCAACTCTATCCAGGTAAATGTAAAAGATGTAAAGTCTCTGTCTTTTTTAATGGCTGAATAATATTCCATGGTATACACATACCACAGTTTGTTGATCCATTCATGGGTTAATGGGCACTTAGATTGCTTAATGACTTGGGAATTATGAATTGAGCCGAAATAAACATTCTAGTGCAAATGTCTTTGTGGTAAAATGATTTTTGCTTTTCTGGGTAGATGCCTAATAATGGGATTGCAGGGCCAAATTTAATATGTGAATTATGGTCTTTTCAGGCCAAATATTTATATAAACAGTAATAAGTGAAGTGTAAATGCAGTGGAATTACACAGAAAGGCTTGCCATAATAGAAACAAGATTAGCTATTTTTTCTTCATAGTTTTCTATCTGTTGCTCTATTCATTTCTCTTTCTAGGTGAACATGTCAAACCTTTTACGCCAGAGAAAGCAAAAGAAATTATAATGTCTTTACAACAACCTGCAATCTTCTGTAACATGGTTTGTGATTGGCCGTCACGGCACTGGAATGCTACACACCTTTCTGAGGTCCTCCGTGGCAAGCAGATGCGATTCAGGATGGGAATGAAAAGCATAAGCACAGGTAGCACTATAAGCAATCCTGATGATAATGCCTCTTAGTAGCATTACCACATTCTCAGCAGTGGTTTCCTTATTTTTAGAGAATCCTTTCTAATCTTCTTTTTCAGTCGTTTACCATGCAGATGGGAAAATTTTATTGGAAGTTTGGAAGAACAGTTCATCCTAGGTTTTATTTGTTTTCTTAAGACTAAACAGCCTTTAACACCATATGAAATATATTTGTTCATGTATCATACGTGTACATTGCTAGACATCCTGTTTTATTGAATGTGGTAGACACTTAATAAATAGTTATTAGCATGCAATTATTTATGTTTCCATGTGACTAAAAAAGACAAATGCCAATCTAGTAGTCTTGCCTGTGTTTTACTTATGTACAGTGTGTCTTTTTATTTGTGGTTTCAGCCCTATCTATAGTTGCAAAATTACTTGGTTACAATTTTATCCCCTACTTCATTGGCTATCTGATGTGTATTGCATTGTACAAACATGAAACATATGTAAAGCTTGGTTTTTTTATTCTCTTAGGCAAATAGATTTTGCCTGCTTCCTCTTTTTCTATGAAGACATCTAAAATTTTCATTTTTCCCCTATTGTCAAATATAGTGATTACCATTAACTCTAAAATTGAATTAATATAAAGGAAAGAAACATTGCTATTTCTAATTCAAAGAAGTTTATAACTGCTGTCTGGTATTTAACATGTGTTTCAATAGGGGTACATTTGGTAGTCTAGAAATTCATAGTGTTTTAGGCATTGTGGTGAAATGGCTTATGAATTTCTATTAATAGCTTGGGGGAACTAGAAAATTCCCCAGCATCCCTTCTAGCTGTTCTAAGCTTCTTTCTCTCATTTTGACCTGGTAGTGTAGCTCATGTAATTATTTTGCTTTTGATGTCTAGAATCCCCATGTACTCCTGTGTCAGATATATGAGAAATGGAAATATATCTCCACATAGAAACTTGTACATGAATCTTCATAGTAGCATTATTTGTAATAGCCAAAAATAGACAATTCAAGTGCTCATCATCTGATGAGTAGATAAACAAAATGTACATATTCATACAATAGAATATTATTTGGCAATAAAAAGAAGTGAAGCACTGATACATACTACAACAACAATATACCTGGAATTTTCCCAGAAATGGATCCTTTAATATACACACACACATACACTTTATGTGCCATCTCTGGAGTCAGCCTGCATTGGTTCAAATTTATGCTATTTGACCCGGGGCAAGCCAATAAACTTTTCTGTATGTTAGAAATATTTTTAAGATTAAATGCCTTTGTATGCATAAAGCATTTATAATAGTGCCTAGCAAATAGTAAGTGCTTAACAAATATTATTATTCATTTAATTTTTTTGTCAGGACAGAGTTCTATCCTATGCCCTGAGCAGAATGCAATGGCATCATAGCTCACTGCAACCTCAGACTTGGGCTGTGGGCATCCTGCTGCCTCAGCTTCTGAAGCCACTGGGATTGCAGGCGCTTGCCATGGTGCCCGGGTCGGTTTTTCCATTTTTTTCATGAGTCAGGGTCTCACTCTCACTCAGATGAGCCTCAAATCCCTGAGCTCAAGCAATCCTCCCACCTCAGCTTCCCACAGTATTGGGATTATAGGCGCGCCCAGCAACAAATATTATGTTTCAATAGAAATAATTTAAAAATAAAAGTATGACGTCTTCATTGTAAAGAAAATTGAAAAAATAGAAAGGCCCTCTCCAAATTAAAAAAATACTACCCTACTACCCAGAGATAAGCGCTAGTTATACTTTGATATATGTCCATGCAGGCCTTTTTATATTTTAAAAATAAAGTTGTATTTTCAGAGCCTGCTTGCTTTTACTTAACATATCCTAAGCAGCTTCTCTTGACATTAAATGTGACTTTTATTTAAGTGGCTACCTAATATTTTATTGTTTGGTAGAATCATAATTTATTTTAAAATGTACCTATTTTGATTATTTAGATTGCTTAGAAGTTTTAAATTACAAATAACACTAGTGAACATCCTTGCAAACAAGTTTTGTTCAAGTTTCTAAATTATTTCCCTAGGATAGAATCCTGGAAGGAGACTTACTGGGTCAAAGAGTACGAACATTATCATCAGTGGCAGCACTATCTGTAAAGTTCCTTGCTCCAGAAACCTCTGAGTCATTCTGATGGTGTCTTTCATGTGGTGTCTTGTGACTTAAATTCTAAAGACCTAGCATCTACCTGCTTCTTTCTGTCCTCACAGCTATCCTGTACTTGTTGGCAGTGCCCTGCTCTCTCTCACCTTCACAGTTGGAATAGCTTCATCTCTTGTCTCTCTACACCCCTTGCTCTCCCTTCCCAGGCCATTCCTCATACTGAAACCAGAGACAGTTTTTAAAAAAATAAATCTAATCTTATTTCTCTGCTTAAAACCATTAAATGGAGGGCAGTGCCTGTGGCTCA